CCTGTTTCCAAAAAGTGCAGCCACCAACAGACACCAAGACAATGCCAGGGCCTCCTGGCTCCGTGTGGATCCGGAAGCAGAGCTCATGCACTGCCTATGGTAAGGGGGGAGCTCCCTGCCCTCCCTCTCCCTGCCTCCCGGCACCATCCGGGGCTCCAGCCCACCTGGAGTTGGTGCCCAGGTTCTGCCCACTCTGAGAGTCAGTGCCAGCCCAGCTGTCTCCTGCGAGCTTGCAGCACTTTCAAAGGCAGAAGCCCGGCTGGGGGAGTGGGCTGAGCCCCACCTTCTGTGCTCCCCAAGGGAGGAATGCCCCAGCTCAGGGACCTAGGGGCTGGGGCTTCCAGCTCGATTTCCCCGGGGGCAGAGCTGGCACTGGCAAGGAGTCATAGGAGCCATTTCCACACCACGGGCACTCTAGAGCAGCGGTCGCCAACCGGTGGCCCATGAGGTCCAAAAGGTTGGCCACTGCAGCTCTAGAAAGCATAGTAGGAGGGTAGCAGCCCCAGCAGGCGAGGCCTTCAACCGCCCAGAGGCAGTCAGGGTGGGACTGGTTCTCAGTTTCCCCATAAACGAAGGTACTGTGGTGACCTGGCTCTAAGGCTCCTCGCGGCCCCTGGGCAGGCTGGGAGCCACATGGAGTGGGGAGAGGAAGGAGCCCTCACCTGGCCCAGGAGGAGGTAGCCGCCCCCAAGCAGGATCAGGATGTGGCCCAGTAGCTGCAGGGAGTTTCCCACTGTCCCCTTCATGGGGAGGAAGGCCTGTGAGGAGACACTCAGGTAGGATCTAGGGTCCCCTCCCAATGGCCCACCCTCCGAGCGCCAGAGCTGAGGACCCACTCTGAGCCTGAGCTGTGGAGCGGCCCCTCCCCTCGGAGCAGCAGCGGGAACCTGGGCTCGGGGCAGGCCCGCTGGATTCTAGTCCACCGTGCGGAGCAGTTGTGAGGGGGAATCGGAAGCCAGGCTGCCCGTTCAGATCCCATCTCCACACTTACAGCCTGCGTGAGCCTGCGTGAGTTATTACCCCTCTGTCCCGCCCTTCCCTCCACTGTAAATGGGGACAGTGGTTCATCTCAGAGGGTTGTTGTGAAATTGAATTAAAGTGAATACAAGTCAATCACTCAGACTCTTTCTCACATATGGTGAGTGTTAACTCCTGCGGAGCTGGCACCCACTGGTCCGGCTGGGAAGCTCTGGCCAGCAGTCAGAGCCTCAGCACAGAGCGGGGGCTGGGGGTGGGGGTGTCCTAGTCCCAGCTTCTTCCAGGGCCATTTCCAGGAGCCTCCCCAGGGTATGCCCCCGCCCCTCCCCAGCCTTGCCTTTTCCAGGGCAGGCTCGCAGTAGACCACAGCGGTGAAGATGAGCATGTAGGTCAAGAAACACAGGAAGTTGAAGAAGAACCTGGGCCTGAGCAGGTCCCATTTCGCCTGCAGCAGTTGGTTCAGCGGCTCCAAAACCACCATTTGGTATCGGTGCTGGGGTGGGAATGTGAGCGCCAGGGGACATTCAGCAGGTGTGCACAGGGGCCTACTCATGGGCTCAGTGCAAGGGCTGAGGGAACGGAGAGGATAGGAGAGGAAAGGATGGGGAACCCCGCTTGACCCCACCCACCGGCCTCCACCCCACCCTCCTGACTAGGGAGTGGCCAAGGGCCTCTCCTGTCCAGAGCAGGTGGGACTGGCGGGTGGGATGAGTGTGGGGTCAGGACCTGCAGCCACACCCCACTGGCCAGCAGACAGCCCGGGTGGGGAGCTTGCAGGGAGCTGTCTGCAGGGCGGGCTCACCGGGCTCCGGCAGTGAAAGGCGATGATCTCCAGTACCGAGTTCTCCTCACAGCTGTCCACAGAGGCCATGTCATACAGTGACACCCGGACCGGCCCGTAGCACCACTCAGTGAACTTCCGGGAAAGGCACTGGTACGGTCCCGAGAACTCTCGCTGCAGGATGTGCCTGAAAATCTGCAGGATGGATCACCTGAGCTTGGCCCTCTTGGCCACCTCCCAGCGTGACTGGGAGTCCGGGAAGTATTCTGTCTGCAGAACTGCGGCTGCCGTGCACACGCCCTGTACACATGGTCCTTGTATGTACAAACGCCCAGAAAGGGTCACTAACCAGAGCAGATTAAGATACAATTTGGTGTCCTGGCTGGTGTGCCCAGTGGTAGAGCATCAGTCCACGCACCGAAGGGTCTCAGGTTTGATTCCTGGTCAAGAGCATGTACCTGGGTTGCAGATTTGATCTCTACCCCTGATCAGGGTGTGTGTGGGAGGCAACCAATGTGTCTCTCCCACATCAATGTCTCTCTCTCTCTCTCTCTATCTCTCTCCTCCCTCCCCTCTCTTTCACTCTTGCTAATAGTCAATGGGGGAAAAATCCTCATTCCTCTGGTGAGGATAAAAAAAAAAGAGAGAAAAATTTGGTTTCACAAATGAGAAATGGGGAAAGGAAGGGGCCGATGGGGGAGCAGCATCTACAGGCCACACAGCACCACACAACCATGCCTCCAGGCACCAAAGGGAGGACCCCACACCTGGAGCTTGGCGGGCAGAAATAAAATAGCAAAAGTTCTACTCATGTTTACATCTATCTTAGCCTTTAAAAGTGCCTGTGTTCTAAGCTCTCTCAGGATTTTGTAAGCTACACGGTGTCAGCCATGAAGCCAGCCCTGACAATCGTGAGAACTGGTAAGCACTTTGGAACAAAGGTAGAGCTGGATCATGTTTACTCTTTATACCAAAACTAGAAGCCTGGTGCACAAAATTTATAATTTATGCACTCCCTCAGCCCAGCATGCACCCTCGAATGGTCTGGGAGCCCTGCGATCAATTTCCCCAAAAACATAGGCCCCGCCCACCCCACCAGGGCTCCACGATGGATCACTCCCACAGAGGGAGGCCCCACCCACCCACCACACCACACAGGCCTGGGCCTCACTCTGCAGGGCAATCATGGGGCAATGGCCGGACCCCTGACCAATTGCATTCCACCCGCCTTCGCTGGCCTGGCACCAGTGGGTGTCATAGTATGGTTGTCCAGACGGTCGTTCCACTGTTCGGCCATTCAGTTGATTTGCATATTACACTTTTATTATTATAGATGACTTCAAAGTTGTAGGCATAGCCCTAGTGGGTTTGGCTCAGTGGATAGAGCATTGACCTGTGGTCTGAAGGGTCCCAGGTTTGATTCCAGTCAAGGGCACTTAAAAAAAAAGTTGTAGGCAATGAAAGTGAAACTGCAGCCCTAGCCTGTTTGGCTCAATGAATATAGCATCAGACTGGGGACTGAAGGTTCCAGGTTCAATTCCAGTCAAAGGCACATGCCTGGGTTGCAGGCTGGATCCCCAGTGTGAGACATGCAAGAAGCAGCCAATCAATGATTCTCTCCCACCATTGATGTTTCCATCTCTCCCTCTCTCTTCTCTGATTTCAATAAAAACATTTTTTTAAGAAAAAAGAAAGTGAAACTGCAAGAAACTGGGAGAAAATAAGGATGTGGAATACACCCACACAAGGTTATAGATAACAGTAGAGGCCCGGTGCACGAATTCGTGCACTGGCGAGGTCCCTTAGCCTGGCCTGCGGGGATCTGGCCAAAACCGGCTCTCCAACATCCCTGAAGGGTCACGGATTGTGAGAGGGCACAGGCCAGGCTAAGGGACCCCACTGGTGCACAATCAGGGCCAAGGAGGAACTGCAGGAGGACTCCAGGGCATGTCCAGCCCATCTCGCCCAGTCCCAATCTGCAAGACCTTAGCAGCAAGCTAACCTAGTGGTCAGAGCATCTTCCTCCTGGTGGTCAGTGAGCATCATAGCGACCAGTCAAATGGTGGAAGGAACAGTTGGACACTTAGCATATTAGGCTTTTATGATATAGGATGACCTTGCGGGAGGATTAAACCCTAAAGGAAAGGATAATTACAACTTGTAAAGTTAGAAATGTGGCAATTCTGTGTGGCAAAGCACCATAAAAATTTTTATTTAATGTTGATCTGGGAGAAAATTTTGCAACTGTGAGAGTAAATAAAATGCTAATTGTTCAGTATAAAGGACACTACCAACCCAGGTAAAGAAAACCCAAGAGCAAGTCTAATGGCAGAATAGGAAAGGACATGAATAGATTGTCTCCTAATCAAGAAACCCAAATGACTTTTGTTGTTGTTGTTAATCCTCACCTGAGGATAGTTTTCCATTGATTTTTAGGGAGAATGGAAGGGAGGGTGAGAGACAGAGAGAGAGAGAAGCATCGATGTGAGAGACATACATTGGGTGGAGGATGGAGCCTGCAACTGAGGTACATGCCCTTGACCGGAATCGAACCCAATACCCTTCAGGCCATGGGCTGACACTCTCATCCACTGAGCCAAACCAGCTAGGGCCCAAATGACTTTTTTAAAAAAAATGCCTGTGATTTACTGAAGCCAATGTCACCCCAATAAATTCAATAAAAACTAAAAATAAAATGGGGAAAATCCCTGTGCTTTATAATGTAATATATTGGTTCAGAAGTTAGATATAGTTCTCAATAAACACACATGGTAGAGGTGCGTGCTGAACTGTTCTTAAGAACAGGAGTGTTCAGTTGAAAAATGGGGAAACCATTGCCTTCCACCACCTCCTCAGCCTCTTTCTGCTTCCTGGGCCGTGGGGGGGGGGGGGGGGGGCAGCCACTCACCTCCATTTTGCCCTCCTGGGCAGCCAGCTTCAGGGGTGTAAGGCCCTGCCTGTTGGGGATGTCCTCGAGCCGCAGCGAGGGGCAGAGGCTGGCCCCAGCCTGGAGGAGCCTGTCGTACATGTGGGTCACCAGAGCGCTGTTCTCAGCCGAGTTGTCTGCAATCATCACCAGCGCGTGCAGGACCGTGTTGCCCAGCGAGTCGGCAGCCTGCAGGCTGGCAGGCTGGTGCTGGTTCTCCAGGAGGTAGGCCACCACATCCCACTGATTGGTGCAGACCGCCAGCGAGAGGGGCAGCTCACCTGGGGGCCAAGGGGCAGCGCTCACCGCCTACTCTTCACACTCCCTGGACAGAGGCCAGGCCTCGTGGAGGCCGGCCAGGCACCCGGGGAAAGGATGAAGCACTGGCCCGAGGTTCCGGCCCCGCTGAGGGAGGCTGTGCCTTCTGTGAACACTGGTGACGGCAGCTGTACCCGTTCTGACACAGGGAGAGGGACCAACCGCTGCCATCGGGAGCAGCACCGGGCCAGCCACCAGGGTTCCCACCTTCCCTGCCTCTTCCTCTCCTTCAGCAGGGCCCAGGCCCGCTGCTGCCTGACGGAGATGCCCTTCAGCCAGGCCCTGTCTGGTTGACTCCGGCCACATGCCAGTTCTAGCAGCCATCCCCAGCCCTGGCCCCGCTGGGGGATGTGGCCAGACAAGGACAAACATCTCTTAAGACTAACTGCTCCTGCAGGCAGCCTGGGGGTTGGCAGCATTGGCCTCAGGGTTAGATAGAGCTGGTTTTATGGGCGGGCTCTACCACCCATTAACCTTGTGCCACCCCGCTCCGCCCACCAGGCCTCGCTTTAATCAAGACTCCTCACCAAAATAAAAGCAAGTGCCTTGGCTTTTCCTCTGGAAGAAGCGGCCGCAGGCCCGGGCATGCACGTCGGCACCGTTCTCCACCAGCAGCCGCACGCACTGCAGGCTCCTCTTCTCGATGGCGATGTGCAGGGCGCTGTGGCCTCGGTAGTACTCGTCTGTGCACTGGGCGTTGACCAGAGGCCTGGGGTTGCCCGAGTCCCGGTCGATCTGCAGCAGCGGCAGGATGCAGGCATTGGCTCCATCCCGAAGGTTCAGCACGGCCTTCATCAGGCACGTCTTCCCGGTGGAGCCCTCTGTGGGAGGAGGGGAGGGCAAGGGGCACGAGGGTGCTCAGACCTGGAGCAGCTGGGCCCAGTGCCAAAACGCCCCTCGGGAGGACAGATGCCACACGCGGCTGGTGGGAGCCAGCCTTGATGCTGGGGATTACGGCCCGGGGATACCGTTTCTGCCCTAGAAATTGTTTTCAGACATAATTTGTCACACGTGCAGCGTTGTCTGTGCAATAACATTGGCACAGCGCTTGTGAAGTGGCTTTCCCGCTTAATGGCTCTGTCTCCTCAGTCAGGTCACTTGGCCTCTCTCAAGCTCAGTTTTCCTGGAAGTGGGGATGTTCCCAGGTTGTTGTAAGGATCAAACGGAATTATATGCAAAATGCTCAGCACACAGGGGGCCTGGCACACCATGTGGAGGCCAAAAACTACAAACAACCTAAACGACCATCAGTAAGAAATGAGTTAATGACATTATGGTACGGCTACAAAACGGAAAACTGCAGTTGTCAAGTGACTAAGTCAGAGGTATATATACTGAAGTGGAAAGTGCTACAAGATGTAGTAAGCAGGGGGGAAGCACATTACAAATGAGTGTATATACATGACCTCATCTATGTAAATATACACCTAACATATTTTAAAAATAAGTTTTTATTAATTTTTTTTTTTTTAGAGAGAAGAGGAAGGAAAAGGGAGAGGGAAAGAGAGAGACAAACATTGATTGGCTGCCTCCTGCACACCCCCTACTAAGGATCAAGCCCACAACCCTGGCATGTGCCCAGACTGGGATTCGAACCTGTGAACTCTCAGTGCATGGGACCACTTCAACCAACTGAGCCCCATTGGCCAGGGCCACATAACATATTTAAACAGTTTGAAAAGATGTATCCCAAACCATCGACAGGGGTCCAGGACCACAGACATTTAACCCTCAGATTTATACATTTCATCGCTATTTTAATCTTCTAGAACACACAAGTTATCTTTCTAATTAGCCCCAAATAATAAAGATATTTAGATTTGGGGTAAAGAATGCTCTGAGATGGGTGAAGTATATGATATGTGTATTATCTATAAATATAAACGCCTAATGTGCAAATTGTCCCCGAGGGAATTCGACTGGGAGACCAATCGCTAACTCTGATGTGTGCTGAACATCAGGGGGTGGCACAAAAAGAAGGAAAAGGCCCTGGCCAGCAGCTGGCAGCTGGGAAAGGAGGCCCTGGCCAGCAGCCAGAAGGCCCTGATCAGCCCTGATCGCTGGCCAGGCCTAGGGATCCTACCTGTGCATGAATTTCGTGCACTGGGCTTCTAGTCCTATATAATAAAACCCTAATATGCAAATTGACTGAATGGCAGAATGACCGGTTGCTATGACGTGCAGTGACCACCAAGGGGCAGACGCTCAATGCAGGAGCTGCCCCCTGGTAGTCAGTGTGCTCCCATAGGGGGAGCACCACTCAGTCAGAAGCCAGGCTTTCAGCTGGCAAGCGCAGTGCCGGTGGCATGAGCCTCTCCCACCTCCACTGCAGGTGGGCGGTAAGGAGTGAGGGGTCCTGGACTGCAAGAGGGCACAGGCCGGGCTGAGGGATGCCCCCCGCCACGTCCCCCCCCTCCCCAGTGCACAAATCTTGGGCACTGGGCCTCTAGTGTCTCAATAATGCTATTATTTAAAAAGATCAAAGAAAGAAGGAAGGAAGGGAAAGAGAGAGAGAGAGAGACAGAGAGAAAGAGGAAGCATTGAGGATGCCCACAAGTACCCATGCACCTGGGTGCCAGTGGGGTGGTGGGAAGTGGTGGGCACAGCCATGATAGGGAGGTAAGTAGAGCCCTTGGCTCTGTCAGCAGGGCCCCCTGCTGCCATTCCAGCAGGAGAGTCTGCTGCTAAGAACACTCCCCTTAAAAAATAAAAATTACAAAGGACAAGGAAACCCACACCCCTTGTCTTCTCCTGACCATGGTCAAGACCCACCAGCCAGCACAGTCCCAGCACAGCGACGGACACGGGCTCTGCGAAGGGCAGGCCTACCTGTGTACTCTGAGTCGGTGAGGTACTTGCTGGTAGCGCGAAGGTACTTCAGTAGCCCCGCCAGGTCCTCGGGGACACCCCGGGCAGCGGCGCTGAAGAGCCGGTCACGGTCAAAGCGGTTTAGGTCCAGCTGGCTGCAAGAATGTGGTTTGTGACTGATGCTGTGAAAGAGCCACGCCCCCAGAAGGAGCTCGGCCCTGGGAGCCCTTGCAGGAAGCCCTGTGAGCACTGCATGCCGGTAACCATGAGAGCCTCCTTCCCAGAGCAAACCGGGAGACCCCGGAGCCAGAGCCCAGGAGCGGGGGTGGGGCTGCCTGGAGAGGGGGCCAGAACCCAGGTCTGTGGCTCCAGGCATCACAGCTGTTCCCAGCATCGGTCCTTGTCATTTGCAAGGTGCCTGGATGATCTCTCAACAGGCTCACTATCCCACAGGGTGGGTCTCGGCATAGGGACTTGTTGTGGTCCCTGAGCTAGAGTCAGGTCAAGACAGGGCTGCAGGAGGTGCCCGCTGACCATCAGGGCTGAGTGCCTCGCTGGCCTTTACAAAGGGATCAAGGAAAGTCCCTCCTCCTCTGAGAAACCATGTTTGGACAAGTAATGCAGTATCTGCACTCACTTCAGCCTGGGGGTCAGGAATCACTACCTTCTCTTTTAGACAGACAAGGCAATACAGTAACTTCCCCAGTCACATGATGCAGAGCCCAGGGCTCCCCCGGGGCCTGTCTAACCAACTCCAGCCCCTGACTCACAACCCCAGAGAGATTCTAGGCTGGCAGACAGCGGTTTCTCAGAGACACGTGGGCCCAGCACCGGAGCCGAGCAGATGCTCACTGGAGTCCTGCTGAGAAGCCACACTTCCGGGAAGGGCCCCAGAAGGGCCTTATAATCTTCAGAATCTCACAGTGTCTGCTGACAGGAAAGGGAAGGACTGCCCCTCCTGGACTCATCACTATTCACAGAGACAAGCTTATCCTTGGGACCCCTGGCACCATGACCAGCAGATATGAAGGGACAGACAAAGGGACTATTACACTTTGGGGACCCTCAGCTCCTAGCTTCACAACTCTCATAGAATGGGCCAACCAAGTGATGGCTGGGTACTGAAGAGTGAGGGGATTGTTGGGATCAGTTGTGTTTTAAGTCATAGCCACATGACTGAGAGGGCCAGACCGCCTCCTCCACACCAGGAAGCTGCACTTCTGCCTCTCCTGGCCAGACACACCATCATCTGCCCACAGAGCACGTGCCCACATGACCAAGGGCTCTGCAACTGACTAGGGAGCCCTGCGGGGAGCCTAGACAGGGGAAGTGTCTATTTGGACAAAGTACTTCCTTTCTCAGGGTGACATCACAGTCTTAGGGTAGGAAACCCCTCAGGGGCACAGATTGAGATACCAAAGGGCATCGCAGGGCCCATTCTGACTGTCAGGCTGGTTACCCAGCTCCCAAAAGCCTCGTGCGCAGCCTCTCCTGTCTGGGTTTGCATCTGTTTGTGGGCCTCCAGCACAGGCAGCATGGGGGCTCTGGGCTGGGAGGCAGGGCTGGAGGTCGCGTCCCAGGCACGAGGAGGAAGGAGGAGCCTTCCCTGGCAGAGTCCCACCTGGACCACGGAGTGTCTCCTGGTCAGACCTTGTATGTCAGACACCACACTGGGGGGATGCCAGATGCACCCCCAGCCCCTGCAGGGCTAGAAGAGTCAGTCCTGGCAGGTGGGCTCTCATGCAGTCTGAACTGATACAGATCACAGGAAACTCAAAGTGAAGGTGGTCCCAGCAGAAGCCCACCATCCACAATCTGAGTCCACACCCCTTGGTCGACAGGCTCAGCCTTGGTGCAGAATCGTCTTTGACTCCCTCCCCTGCTACCATCCATCAGAGGGGCCATGACAGGGTGGGGGCCAGGCATAAACTGGGGGGTGCAAGGGTCAGTTGAGCACTTGGAGCTGGAAGAGAATGTCCCTTTAAAGAAGAACATGACCTCAGAAGGCTGAAGGCCAAGAATAGAGAAGGTTCTGGAAGGGGCCATCCCAGAGAGCAGAGCAGAGGTCAGCCTGTCAGGACCAGGAGCTGTCACAGTCAGACTGAGGACCCCACAGGCTGTGGGGAAGGGGCACCGAGTGCTCTGCTGGAAGTGAGGGACCCCGAGCTGCACCCCCATTTGCTGCCTTACCTGGCACCTGTTCTCATTGGGAGTTTCACTTTGATCAGAGGGGCGTGGTTCCTGTCCTCGGGCACATAGGGTGAGTCCATGGGTGTCAGCTCATCCCCAAGGCCCCGCTGTCCTGTGTCCACATCAGCTCCATCTTCCCAGACTCTATCATAGGTCCCCAGCCTGAAAGCAGGGGTTCCGGAGGCGGAAGCCATCCTGGGGGTGGCGACCCAGCGGGAACCTCTGTGGAGAGAGATGTCAGGGGCCCCGCCTGCCTCTGCCCAGGGAGGGGTAGGCATCTGGCTGGGCTGCAGACAGAGGGGTTTAGACGCTGAGTACACCCACCCACATGGATGGGGGTGGGGCTGCAAGGAAGGAAGGAGGAGAGGAAGGGAAATTCTGGTGTGAGGATGGCGGTGCCCTCAGAGAGGGGGGAATAGGACCCAACAGGGCTGCCTCTTTGCCGCTGTCCCACGGGAAGGGGCTGTGGTGTCCCTGACTTTCCCTCCAGGACTTCCTGATGTGGAGGCCACAGCCCCTGGCCTGGCGGTAGCAAGCGTTTGCATCACCAGCACAGCCCTCTATGCACAGTCTGTCCAGCGGGAGTCACCGCAGATGAAGGTGCAGTAGCGCGGTGGGTGGGGGGGCGCTCATCTCTCACCACGGAAGGGGCGCTGGCGGGGGCGCGGGGGGGGGGGGGTGGAGGTGGCGGGGTGGAAACCCTGCATCTGCTGCCAGGACAGCTGCAGCTCTAAAGTGAAGTGACTTCCCCAAGGTCGCAGCTGTGGCCGAGCCTGGCGACACCGCCTCCAGCCTGACGCTCCTCTTTCGTCCCCAACATCGCGGGCCGCCTGCCCCACCGCTGAAGGCACCGAGAGCCCCTCTGTGCGCCGCAGGCTCTCGGGACTCCAGAGGGGGGGACCCTCAGGCTGCCCGGAGCCCTTGGCCGGCAGCCTGCCCGCGCTGGCGGAAGGTCTGCCCCCGCCTCCTGCCCTGTCCGGGAGGAGCAGAGTGAGAGACCTAAGGGGACCGCGGGGGGCGCAGGGGGGCACAGGTGAGCAGAGGGAAGAGGGGGGGGATCTGCGGGAGGAGGAGAAGGTCGAGCGCCGGGGCCTCTCCCTCCCGCTCCGGCTCCCACAGAAACAGGGCGCGGGGGGCGCAGGGACCGCACTGGATGCCTCCACATGCGGTTTTGACGCACCACCTTTCTGCCCGCCCCGGGCTGCTTCTGGGGACAGACCCACCCAGCCTGGTCGAGGTCTGGCCCCGCCCCCACCCCCAACCTCCGCAGCAACAGTTGGGGTCCAGCCCCGCCCCGCCGGAGCCCCCCGGTCCCGCAGGGAAGGCCGGAGCCCCCGCTCCAGAAGGAGGGAGCGCGCCCAGCAGAGCCCCGTTTGGGCCTGGAGAAGCAAGAAGCCCATCGGGGCCCCCGCCCCATCATTCGCTGTCAGGTCTGGGGACCCCGGCATGGTCCCCCTATTTACCCCGCAGGCTGAGCCGGTGCTGCCAGGAGCGGGCGGCGGAGAAAGTGAAGCCGGAGGCTGACAGCCGGGCGGGCGCGACACCCAAAGCTCGGGCTGCAGCCGGCAGGGGCTCCCGGGCTCTCCCACCCTCAGCCCGCGCGCCCGCTGCAAGGTGGAATCGGGGGTGCTCTCTCCCGTCAGGGCCGGGGGACATCAGGGACTGACTTTATGGACCACTGGCCACACCCCGTGAGGACACGCCCTGCGCCCGCCCCACCCGCTGCCTGGGCACTGGCACTGCTGGCGGCGTGGGGGGAGCAGGGGCAGCCCTGGAGCGCAGGGCGCGGGCGCCAGTGGGGAGCCTTGCCCACTACACCGCACCTCCCCTCCCCTTCCTCGCCACGGGCCTCCTGACAGCCGCGTGGCTCCGACTGCGAACTGGCTGACCCATCGCAGGACAGAGAGCTGTTGTGGATGGCCCCAGGGAAAGGAGAAGGGAGGTGAGGGAGAGAGGGGGAGAGGGACAGAGGGACAGAGGGACAGAGGGACAGAGGGACAGAGGGACAGAGGAGAGGAAGAGGAGCACATGCCCAGCACATGCCTGAGGGAATTCCCCCCACCCACCACCCAACAGTTTGAAGGACTTTCCCACCTCCTGGGGCCTTCCCCCCACCCCCTCCCCAGCCAGGGGCTCAGAGGACTCCTGGACTTCCAGCTGTGTGTGTGTGTGGGGGGGGGAGTTGCTGTACTGCCCTGGTCTGGACTCAGCCCTGGATGCTTGGGGACACAGCCACCATCCAAGTAGCCCTAGGATGTCTCTCTCCCTCCCCCTACACACACACACACACACACACACACACACACACACACACACACACAAAGACACACACACAGACACACACACAGACACACACACAGAGACACACACAGACACACACACACAGAAACACACACAGACACACACACAGAGACACACACACAGAGACACACACACACAGACACACGCACAGAGAGACACACACAGACACACACACACACAGCAAATGTACCGAATGTATCTCTGTGTCTGGTCCAAGCCACTTTCATCGCTCCCTGGGAGACCGCACCCACCTCCACACTGGTCTCCCATCTTCACTCCTGCCCCACCCTCACCCTCATAATCCATTCTCCTCATAGCGACTGGAGTATCTTCCAAAAGTAAAACCGGGTCACCCCACTCCCCGCTTAACTCCCACCCCAACCAGCGGTTTCCTCAGGTGCTTACAATAAAATGCATCCTCCACACACAGCCCTGCACAGCCCGGAGGGGCTTCCCATCACCCCACCTTGGTCTCTCCTTGCACCCCTGTTACACTCTAGACCAGTGATTCTCAACCTTGGCTGCACATGAGAATCACCTGGGAATCTTTTTAAAATCCTGATTTCTGGGCCTCATCCTCTGGAAATTCTGTTTCTTTGTTATGGGGTAGGGCCACAACATTAGTAACAAAGAAACAGAATTTCCGGAACATGAGGCCCGGAAATCAGGATTTTAAAAAGATTCCCAGGTGATTTTAATGTGCAGCCAAGGTTGAGAACCACGGCTCTAGACCTTTGCTGTCAATATGGTGGTCACTAACCATGGTGACTATTTATTTTATTTTATTTTTATTTTTTTCATATATTTTATTGATTTTTTACAGAGAGGAAAGGAGAGGGGTAGAGAGCTAGAAACATCGAAGACAAACATCAATCAGTTGCCTGCTGCACACCCCCCATGGGGAATGCACCCTTAACCAAGGCACATAGCCCTGACCAGAATCGAACCTGGGACCCTTTAGTCCTCAGACAGACGCTCTATCCACTGAGCCAAACCGGTCAGGGCGCCATGGTGACTACTTAAATTCAAATTAATTGTAATAAAATAAAATTAAACATTCAATTCTACAGTCACATTAGCCTCTTTTCAAATGTTCAATAGTCACATGTGGTTGGCCAGTGGCTATCATATTGCAGAACTTTTCCATCGTCATAGAGAATTCTATTGGACAGCACTGTTCTAGGCATTCTGAACACATGTTAGCCTCTCCTCTGTTGCCTCTGAGCCTTTGCACAAGTTGTTCCATCTGCCAGAGTCACACACACCCTCTCACACACCCACAAACACTGCCTTACTCCAGCCAAGTCCTGCTCATCTGTCACCTCTCCATTTAGAACATCACTTCCCCTGAGTAGCCTGTACTAGACCCTGAACTGGAATGGGAGTCCCCACTATGTGTTCCCACGACACTTTTTCCTTCTCTGATCAGAACTCATTATTCATTATTGTTAACATTTATTAATTGTCTGGCTTCGCCTCTAACAGTAACAAATGCCTACTGAGCACTCACTCTGCGCCAGACACTATGCTGAGTGCTTTCCATTTAACCTCATTTCACAGATGAGGGAACTGAGGCAAGGCAAAGTGAGGTACCTTCCCAGGCCGTTCAAATCCAGAGCCATACCCTTACCCACCAAGCTCTCCACGGGGTGAGATCTTGCCTTTTTAAAATTTTTATTTATTTATTTTCTCTGTACCCCAGTACCCAGAACAGTGGCCAGCACAAGAAGGCTTTGAAAGACTGGGTGGCCAATCATAATGCAGAGGGCATTACTGTACTGTTGGGGGGAACGGAGAGCAAGGGGAGACCTTCAAACCCCTCAGAGACATGACCACATCAGGTGACAATGACAATTGGGCAGACAACCCCAAATGCAACAGCAGCTCATAAAAAGTCCTCGGATGGATAGCCATTAGGGAAATCAAGAACCACTAGGAGATACCACTTCATACCCACCGGGATGGCCAGATAACAGAGATGGGTAAGACAAGCGTTGGTGAGGTTGTGGAGAAATTGGAATTTCTCATATTCTGCTAGTGGGTGTAAAATGGTGCAGCCATTTGGGAGAGCCTGGCTGTTCCTCAAAGGGTTAAACACAGTTACCGTTCAACCCAGCAATGCCGCTCGGCCATGTACTCCAAAGAAACGGAAGCAGATGCCCACACACACTCTTACACAAACGTTCACAGCAGTGTTATCCATAACAGCTGAGTGGATCAACCCAATGTCCACCAACTGTTAAGTGGGAAAACAAAATGTGATCTCTCCATACAATGGAATACTATTCAGCCACAAAGAGGAATAAAGTACTGGTATGTGCTCAACATGGATGAACCTTAAAAAAATTAGGCTAAGTGACAGAAGCCAGTCACACTCTGGCCGGGGTGCTCAGTGGGCTGAGCATTGCCTGGTGCATAGAAAGATCGCTGGTTCAATTCCTGGTCAGGACACGCGCCTGGTTTTGGTTTGACCCCTGGTTGGGGTGAGCTCAGGAGGGAACAGATTGATGTTTCTCTCTCTCTTTCTCTCTTTTTGTCATTTCTATCCCTCTCCACTGTTTCTCTCTCTCTCCCTCTCCCTTCCTCTCTAAAATCAACTTTTTAGACTACAGGTTCAACATAGAAGGTAGCCGGCAATTCCAACTTACACTGCACAGTTGGGCCCCCTTACTCCGTGCCAGCCCAGCAACTCCAGGCACAGAGCCCACGGGCAGCGAAGGGCCAGGAGCTGTCACAGTCAGAATGAGGACCCCACAGGCTGTGGGGAAGGGGCACCGAGTGCTCTGTTGGAAGTGAGGGACCCCGGGCTGAACCCCATTTACTGCCTTATGTGCCACCTGCTGCCTTTTGGTAGTTGAGGTTGACTTTGATCTGAGGGGAGGAGTTTCTGTCCTCGGGCACATACGGTGAGTCCATGCGGGGCAGCACAGCCCCAAGGCCCTGCTGTCCTATGTCCACATCAGCTCCATCTTCCCAGCCTCCATAGGTTCCCAGCCTGAAAGCAGGGGGGCCGGAGGTGGAAGCCATCCTGGGGTGGCAGCCCAGCAGGAACCTCTGTGGAGAGAGATATCTGGGGCCCCGCCTGCCTCTGCCCAGGGAGGGGTAGGTGGTCTGGCTGGGCTGCAAACGGAGGGGTTTAGTCGCTGAGTACACCCATCCACATGGATGGGGATGGGCTGTGAGGAAGGAAGGAGGCCCCAGTGAGGAGATGAAGGGAAGTTCTGGTGTGAGGATGGCGGTGTCCTGAGAGGGGGGAACAGGACCCAACAGGCAGGCCTCTTTGCCGCTGTCCCACAGGAAGGGGCTGAGGTGTCCCTGACTTTCCCTCCAGGACTTCCTGATGTGGAGGCCACAGCCCCTGGCCTGGCGGTAGCAAGCATTTGCATCACCAGCATAGCCCTCTCTCTACACAATTCTGTCCAGCGGCTGGGAGTCACCACAGATGAAGGTGCACTAGAGCGGTGGGTGCAGGATGCTCACCTCTCACCAAGGAGGGGCCGCTGGCTGGGGTGCAGAGGGGGAGGGGGTTGAGGAGGGGTGAGGGGTTGGAAACCCTGCATCTGCTGCCAGGACAGGTGCAGCTCAAAAGGGAAGTGATTTCCCCTAGCTCACTAGCTGTGGACTGGGGAAGCCGGTCCATCCTTGCTGCTTGGCACAGTCGCTGCAGGGATGAAACATCTTCACAGCATATGTTTCAAGGGACCTGGCGTATATGGCATACTGTTCTTAATATGTTTGCTCCCCTTCTTAGCACTATGTGTTCTAACCAGGGTCACCTCTGGGAGAAAGGTTGTTTCCCCAGGTGGGGATTTTCCCCTGGAGTTAGGGATTAACAGGACTAAGGAAGGGAATAAATCAGTAAAACCCCTTAACTAAGTGCCAGGTGGGTAATTATCCACTTTAACTATGAACAATCATGCTTAAGCAACATAATCTTTACTTAGGATAATCTCCTTCAGTTACTTCCTTGTATCTTAACAGAACAGTAGAGTAGTGACCTTGGAATGGAGATAACAAACGCCCCAACGTTTGGAATAGAATGGATAGGATTAAAATCAAATGTTATAAGTACAGATGTAACAGGAGAATAAAGAGAGAACCTGGCTAGGCTACTGATCAACTGAGTGCTGTCTCCGAGTCACTCCTTCTTTGCCGACTCCGTCCACACCTTTGGGAACCCCTGGACCTGCTGGGGCTGGACCCCAACAGTGGCCGAGCCTGGTGACACCACCTCCCTCCTGACGCTCCTCTTCTGTCCCCAACATCACCAGCAGCTGAAGGCACCAAGAGCACCTCTGTGCGCCACAGGCTCTCGGGGCTCCAGATGGGGGTGGGAGGGGACCCTCAGCTGC